GCGTCATTGCAGTCACTTTCCCGTTAGGATTCCTTCATGTTCATGGTTCAGGAGGTTTCTACCGAGCCCAACTTTCCTGATCAGGCAGAGCTGCGACTCACTCGTTCTCGCGCGACACATAACTATCTAACCTCTGTGCATGATTTAGTAACTACTAACACACTGAAGCCTCATTAGATCGTCTCATATCTCCATCTTAACATCACTTGCATTTCTGTCCCACGCTGTTGACAACATAGTATGACGTCCCGGAGCTGCGACCGACCTGCTTCTAACGCTTCAGCTCAGCTTGTTCTCTGATACACTTAATCAGACCGTCCGAACTCTAAAATCCTTCATCCCCGGTTCAACATCTAGATTACAAAAGCACCAAGATCTAACGTACTGTTGCATATTCTGAAATCGTGTTCTGGTCCATCAGCTGGACTATCAAGTTCTCGTCAATTCTGCTAGTATACAAAGCACTGTGTGATATCTCTGAATCCTGCTCCATTCTATAGTCTCTCATCTCACATATAGAGTCTTGTAAGTGTCGAGTTAACTTATAGTTAGCCGTTGCTTGTAAAATGAATAAAATTTATTTCCTTTTATCTAGCTTGTTCTAAATTTTCTAGGATAATAGATAATTCAATAAAATTCTTTTTATCTGTTAAATCTCGCGTTTCACGCCTAATAAAATCCCACGACTTTCACTCACTGAGTAAATCAACGACTGACCTCTGCTTACACATCAACAATCTATGTAGGTACAAGGGTCCCTTTAGTGATCTACGCTCCACGATCGAATGGAACCTTGCCGCATATTTATATCAGCAGCGCGTTCTACCTCAACTTTGAGATGGACATAATCAGCTGCCAACTTAATAATGCAGCAGCACCACTCGTCCTCTGGCCTCCTCATTCATACATATCTCTACCCTGCATAAACAATCACAATACAGCTCCCTTCTTCTATTCTCTCCTAATCAGAACAAGACAAGCACTCTTAACAGCTCAATCATATCAGGTCGCTTAACCATGATGTCATACTCTCTCTCACCAGACACTTGACCTGACATAACTGTATCTCGCCTCTTTCGCTCTCGACCAAAACACGGACGTTTGCTTTGATTTTGACTTTCCTAGTGCTAAACATCTACAAAACCCACGAAAAGTTTGTCCCCTTCAATTTACTTACCCTCTTAATTCCACTAACAACCAATATAAATATTTGCTTTACTTGTTTGACTTACAATATTCACTGCAGTGTATCTTATTACCTCCAACTAAGCTAGTCCTGATCATCTTTTTCAGATATGGATCGACTAGGGTTCTCACTACAGATATCAGAACCTCAATGCTACACGATCCGGGTCTTCTATTGTACTTCTATAAACTACTCTACCAATGATAACACATATTTTATTCATGGATCTGAAAAAGACTAAAAAGTGCTTATTATTAGGCCGGTTACATTTTAACCTTCTTTATAAGTCCTTAAAGGAATTGTTAATTCGACATTTTGGGTAAATTACGACTTATGCTCTAGTGATAATATTGTTATATTCTAATCAACCCGAAATCCTATAGCACCTAAGCGAAAAATCACCTCCTAGCAGATCTGTTCCTCAATAAATCTAATGCGCATTTAAGCTTACTAGCAACATTTAGGATATCATATATGCAAATACATAGAATTGCTAGAGTTATTATATCACTATAGACTAAGCGTTAGCCTTCTGATCATATTATGAAAGTATCCAATCCTACCTAGTTCTACACATGATCTTTATACATAGCCACTAATCCTAAACTTAATAACTCCAAAATTATCAACTCACACTAATCAGCGACTTCCCCGTGTTAAACCACAATTTAAACATACTCGATGCATAGATGTACCTTTTTATACTATTTTTTTATACGAGGTTTTGAGGTTAACTTATCCTACATACAAAGCATATGTGTGTAGGACTTATCTAGACCTGTTATTCATCCCACATAAATGAATTTCTCAGCTATTCTTATACTGAACCTTACTTATGCTTATAATAGACTAACTTGGCTGGTTTGGGAAGGGTGTTAAATCTCTGCTCTCCTGAAAACTCAATACTTGCCAAAATGTTGCCAAACAATTCCCTATAAAGCGTTTAACTTCAAACAGAGTTCATGGCAACTGCTCCACCACTATTTTATTTATCCCCCACTTATCTCTCTCTTGCTCCCCTCCCAAATCAGGCTCCTGTTTCTGGGTGGCAGTGCTCCGATGGACGCGTGGTGGGGATTGTGGGCAAGCGCAGGCCGAGGAGGACGACCCAACCACGGTTGAGCTGCGGCGCATTGTCGGGTGGACCTCTCGCTACCGTGAAAAAGGCCATCCGCAAAGAACCCTGGTCGTCGGGGCCCCCCCCCCCACCCACCCCCCCCCCTCCTGGAGTTCGCGCGTGCGCAACAACTACGCCCGCCGTGGTCCTCCGGCAAACCGAACGGCTGTTGAAGTTGGCGCCCACAAGCTGTACGAGTCCGCTGGGCTTTCCGTTCGACGGGCCAGGAGCGAGGAACTACAGGCTCACCCGGGAATGAAGCGCGCTCCGCAGATGGAGAGGCTCTTCTTCCCAAGGATTCCCGCTACAGGCCGCTACCCCGCCTGCAGGCTCCCGATGAGGGAGTGAGAGGTGACAGGGAAGAGGGAATGAGAGAGAGATTGAGAGGGGAGATGGAGAAAAAGAGAGGACAGAGAGAGAGAGAGAGAAGAGAAAGAGAAAGGAGAAGCCAAACAAACCCTCCTTCACCTGAGAGGGTGGGCCGAGCGACCGCATCCTTCCTCTGACAGCTTTTATTTATTTTGTGTCATTAGAGATAACTTTCCCGAAGTAACTACTTAACACTTTCTACTACTTCATCCTTCAAGAAGTCCACCTAAACGTTTTCATTACTATTACGCTTTGTTGCCGTTGTTTTTGTATTATACTTTTACATTTTTTAAATTAAGAAAGTTTGTCTTCTTTCCTCTTATTTTATTAAAGCTATTTTTTGTAGCCTTTACCCCCTTCCCTTTCCAATTGTGGGAGGAAAGAAAAAACTAATGGCTTTTTATAAAAGACATCTTTACTGGCAAAGACCCAACTAGGTTCCCCTCCCCTGCCCCCTTTGGTTTTTAAGAAATGATGGGAACTCTGATCAGAATAGCTCCTTCATTACAGATTCCACAATGCCCTTTTTTTTACCCCCCTCCCCCCCTTACCCTCAACCCTCCCCTTTCCCCTCCCGCCATTCTTCTAATTTTCCCCAGGCCACGTAGAAATTCATGGACCAGGTTTTGAAAAAACCAGGAAGAGTGCAATGAAAGACATTTGCATTCCGGTTTCATTTGGGGGGAGGACAGAGGCAATTGGATGGTTTGGGAGCTCCTCCGAAGAAGCAAAAAAAAAAAAAAAAAGTGGTGGTGGGGGAGCTTGTGGTAGCACACTCTCTTTTACCAAAAGCTCTAGCACATGTTACATTTTGTGTGCTTGGACAGAGCCGTGGTTACACACCACACACCACAAACCAATGTCATTTTTGGCCTTTTAGCCCCCAGACCTCTCAAGACCACCATATTGAGCCAACAGCACGAGTGTTGTACTGATCGGTGAAGACAACAACTCCCATGACCCCACACTGCTTTTGTTATTGTTTTAATGTGAGAATGTCAGAAATGACAGACTGTAGGTTTAAGTTAAGAAAGAGAGGAAATAATAATAATAATTCTGTGTTTTTTGTGTGTTTCAGCTCATGTGGACAATGAGGAGCAGTATATTCTGTCCATGGAGAAATTTGGAGACAACTGCGTCTGCCGGGAGGACGCCGAGGTCGGCTCGGCCTTCCTCAAGTTCGCCGTTTTTACCAAAGAGCTGTCGGCGCTCTTCAAGAACCTGGTGAGGGTCCAAGTTCACAACCCGATCGAAGCGTTGAAACTGAATCTGTAAAGTGTTCTGAGTAGATGCTTCCTCTCTATACGGACACACCAGAGCTGTGGAGGTTTCTGCTCATGTTTACTTCCTGTTTGCAGTTGCAGAACATGAACAACATCATCACCTTCCCTCTGGACAGTCTGCTGAAGGGAGACCTGAAAGGAGTGAAAGGGGTTTGTGTTCAGTTTCCTTCAACAACAACAGTTAAAGAGTCCTGAAACATCCAGATAAAAACACCTTACTGAGATTATTTGAACAGATATTGAAATATGATTCATGATTACGGTGCAAGTTTTTCACTTAAAACATGATGATGTGACATTTTGGGTGTTTATATCAAATAAGAGACGAAGGTTTGTGGACCAGAGGATCTCTGCAGCTGTACAGTCGCTCATTATAACACTGTTTGTTTCACACATCGCCATATTGCAAAGAAGATAATATTTGAATTCTCAATTTATCTTCACCACTTTAACAACATTTAACAGAAACACAGAAAGTCACACAGGACATGACGGAAACCAGTTTATAAAACTGTGAATTCACTTAATAGAAATAAACTGTGAACTTGTGTTCAGCATCAGGCTGAATTAACAGCGAATATCTGACAACTAATTACACTTTAACTCAATTTAATGAAACCACTGACGGATCATTGACCTCAGAAACTTCATGAGTCACAAATAACATGTTCCAGTTGTGTTCATCACCTCTCAGTGTCGGTGTTTCCGCTGTGTTTCTAACTTTTCAGCGGTTTTGTTTTCATGTTCTCACTTGTTGTTAAAGTGGGTGAAGACATTTTGTCCATTTGGCTGCAGTGTGTTGAGCTCTCGGGGCCACCGTACTGAAATCCATAGTGACATCTTCAGGTGTCTAAACCCAAAAGATTCAGTTCACAGAACACAAAGAAAATCCTCACAGCAGCTGAAACAACACTTTACTTTATGGTCTGACCAGTTCAATAGTGGTGATTCAGTATCTGAAAGATATCTTAAACAGAAGTCAGTGTTTTTGCTGACTACATTACTACATGAGTGAAGTTATATAAACTTAATTATTAAGTGCTTTAGAGTTAATAATAAATATAAAGAGTAAAACAAAAGGAGCCACTCAGTAGAGTTTAGAATAAAGTTCACGTCTTTGTTTCTATCAGTAAAAACAACAAACTCACAAACGTTATCGTCTGGAAATATTTCCTGAGTGACTCACAGGTCAAAGTCCTCTCTCTCTGTGTCTGCGATGTGATTGGTCAGAGGTCAGGCTAATCATGTGACGTCTCTTCCTGTTTCAGGATCTGAAGAAGCCGTTCGACAAATCCTGGAAGGATTACGAGACCAAGCTGTAAGAACAAAAACACGTCATCAGTTCAATGTGAAACAACACATATTCTCTTCATAAAGGACCTTAATTACACTTATCTTCACCTTTAATGATACAATAGAATATAAATAGTTTTTAATATAAATTATAATATATATAGTTTATTAGTTGCTGTCAGACATATACAGTGAAGTAAAACACAATATTTCTCTCTGAGGCACAGTGAACATTCTGGTTATACAGGAAGAATCAGTAACATTATAAAAAGGTAAAGACACAGCGATCAGGTTTTCAAGGAGCTCTCGTCCCGACCTTTGACCTCCGCAGAGCAAAGCTTGAGAAGGAGAAGAGGGAGCACGCCAAGCAGCACGGGATGATTCGCACCGAGTTCAGCGGAGGAGAGATCGCGGAGGAGATGGAGAAGGAGCGACGACTCTTCCAGCTGCAGATGTGCGAGGTGAGGCCTCAGCAGATGTTTCCTTCCTCAGTTTAAATAGAAAAATAAAAAGGAGGTTTGGAGAAATTGATTTGATTTCTCTGGTTTCAGTATCTGCTCAAAGTGAACGAGATCAAAGTGAAGAAAGGCGTCGACTTCCTCCAGAACCTCATCAAGTATTTCCACGCTCAGTGCAAGTACGTCGTTTAAAGCCCAACCACACGCTAACAATCATTCAGCATTCAGTATCTGAAACATCCAGAGGAAATCCACCTTCAGTTATTTAATATCAATGAAATATATAATTATTACTGAGTTAAAAATAATTTAGGTCATCATGTAATTCATTCATTACGTAGTTTTAAGGTTTAACTTCCTTTAACAGCAACAACGAGGGAAATACTGTAAATTAGATTTGTTATTTTATATAAAATTAGTAAATTTCCACATTTTCTTTTCTGTTTTCTATCAGTTTTTTCCAGGACGGACTGAAAGCTGTGGAGAGTTTGAAACCCTCCATAGAGAAACTGGCTACAGATATGACGGCGGTGAGACCGAAAATATTCAAACTAAATATCAGAATAATGCAGCATAAAGAACATCTGCCTCTCAGATATAATAACATCAAATAAAAAGTCCCTTAAGTTAATACCCAAAGTACAGTACTCGAGTAAATGCAGTTACTAAAAAAATGATCTAAAACATCAGTAATGCGTCCGTTTCTGCTTCTGTGGTGTCCAGATAAAGCAGACTCAGGATGGAGAGAGGAAACAGCTGACTCAGCTCCGGGACGTCCTCAAAGCGTCGCTGCAGTCCGAGCAGAAAGAGGTTTTTACTGTTGTTACGATATCTTTCTGTCTTTAAGAAGAATAAATAATAACAATAACACAGTAAATAAGATGGCGGTTACAGTCGGCGTGTGTTTCCTGGTTCCTTCAGGACGCTCAGGCCAAACAGAACGCAGGTTACAGCCTCCATCAGCTGCAGGGCAACAAGGCCCACGGCACCGAGTGGTCCGGAGTCCTCTACAAGAAGAGTGAGGGGTGAGTGAACTCAGTCTCCCAGAATTCCACAGGAGAGTAACTTTCTGTGGCGCGTTCACACCAATAACAACCTGTAGGGGGCTGGTGTGTTCAATATTAAAGCCTTTAATGAAGCCTTTAGTTGCTCTGACTCACTCGTGTGTCGCTCTCAGGCTGAGGAAGGTGTGGCAGAAGAGGAAGTGCTCGGTGAAGAACGGTTTCCTGACCATCTGCCACGGCACGGTAAGATCCTCTTCTCCTATTGGTCCGCCTGCATGAGAAGCTCCGCCCTCCTGCCTGCATGCCCATCAGCCAATAAAAAGTCTCCTTCTGGGTTTTATTTATTTTATTTACCTGAATTTGTGGAAAAAACACAGGTTAGTTTTCCTTCTTTTTGTTTTCTTTTATTTTGAAGTTTTTACATGAAGAGTCAAACGGCCAATCAGGACAGAGCAAGCAGCAGAGGAAGAGAAAGAGGAGAAGGAAGAGCTTAAGGAAAAGGATGACAGGGAGAAGGGTGGGAGGTTTTGGGGGGGCTCTCTGCTCTCAACCTCTCGTCTCTGCTTCAGCTTTCAGCTCCGATATGAACGAGTTTCAGTGTCTCTTGCTAGCAGCTTTTATTGTGATGCAAAGTTTTTACACAAAGAAAGAAATAACTTCCTGTAGAACATTTGCCGAATTTACAAAGAGGCCCAACTAATTATAATCTGTCGTTTCACAAAGTCTCTAAAGTTTCTCCTCACACACAAACTCACAAAGTTGCACAATTTTTAAAGGAAGTCTGGGGACTTTCACCACTGGCAACAAAGAAATGTCCTGTATTGGTTAATGTTTAATGTGTTTTTACAATTTTAATCGATAAAAACAATAAAATGTAGATGAAACCGTGTGTTCAAACAGCTGCTAAATATTGGCATGTAAGAATATACACGTTAGACACCGGGCAGCCGACAGACACAGTGTATTTAACAAGGAAAGAAACAACTTAATGTATTTAATTTAATGCTGAACTGACAAGAAGGCACAAATTATTAAGAATTGTATAATTAATAGTTAATTATAGTTTATTAAATTTCTCCTCACTCAACAACTCTCAGAATTGGGCGTTTTTGTAAGGGAGTCTGGGGATATTGCGGTTACTAGTTGAATGGTGAAATCAGTTGAAACCGACAGTGTGTTAACAAACACTTCCTCCTTATCGAGGCAGGTAAAGAGTCCAAACACATCATTTACATCTCAGAGAACCAAATGGAAATCAGTGTTTCTGTGTACAGACAGACCAGCAGGTGAGTGGGCGGAGGACACGTTCACATGCTCACCTGTAGAATAATGTGGACATATGTGGGCCAGACCACCTCCGAATGAGGTCTGAGGGATCGGATCTATCTGAACCACTACTGGGGTTCATGTCTGAACCAAACTTCATACAAAAGTCATTAGGCCTCATCATCTCGTTACCATGGAAACAGCTCCACCAAAGAGTCATCGGTCTTTCCCCGACCAAACCAGACAGAAACATATAAATAAATAAATAAATAAATACAGAAATAAATAAATACAGAAATAATTATCTTCATTACCAAAATGTATTTATTTGTCGTGTATCTCTGTATATAAGGATTTATTTATTGTATGATACACTTTAAAAATATACATAGTTGAGAAAAAACTAAATGCAACTGTTATTTTTAAAGTTTAATAATAATGAATTAATATTACATAGATTATATAATATTAATGATAAATATATTATATAGACACAATTGTGTAAAAAATTCACTCATCTCTGATTTTTTTTTTTTTTATTTCACACAAACTTCCTGCAGTTGTTTGTGTTCATTGATCAGTTTATCAGCTGTTATTGTTATTATTAATTATAATATGAAATATCCATGAGATCGTGAGGGGTTCTCAGTTTTAGAAAGGGGGGTAGAAAGGTTGGGAACCAGTAGAAAGGTTGGGAACCAGCAGAAAGGTTGGGAACCAGTAGTTTATGTGTATTTTTAGTGTCTCTGTGTCTCACGCTGTTTCCCTGTTTCTTGTCTCTCAGCCTAACAGACCTCCAGCCAAACTCAACCTGCTCACCTGTCAGGTGAAGAGGAATCCAGATGAGAAGAAGAGCTTCGACCTGTTCTCACGTAAGCTGCAGCTCGTCTGTCCAATAAACATTCACTGTCTGTGTCGTCCTCCTGTGTAAACCCGTTTCCTGTCTGCGTCCCTCAGACGACCGAACGTATCACTTCCAGACGGAGGATGAAGCCGAGTGTCAGATGTGAGTATTTACAGTTCGACCCCGCGGTTCATCAGCCTGACCTTTGACCTCCGCTGTAACCTGTGACTGTGTTTATTCCAGCTGGGTGTCGGTGCTGCAGAACAGTAAAGAGGAGGCGCTGAACACAGCGTTCAAAGGCGACCAGAACGAAGGCGAGAACAACATCGTACAGGAGCTGACCAAAGCCATCGTAGGAGAGGTGAAGAGGATGAGCGGCAACGACAGCTGCTGCGACTGCGGAGCTCCGGGTCAGTGCCACTGCTACTAATACTGCTATTAATACTATTAATACTATTGATACTATTTATAATACTATTAATACTTATATTAATACTATTAATACTTATATTAATACTATTAATAATACAGTTAATACTTATATTAATACTGCTGATAACACTGATAATACTATTGTTACTGCAGCTGCCACTACTTTAATTACTGCCTGCAACTCCTATTATATGCAGCCCTGCTATTACTATTATTAACTAGTAACTACACCTCCAACTCTACCAATACTAATAATACTAATACTACTAATACTACTAATACTAATACTACTACTGTTAATGCTGCTCATACTGTCTTACTGTTGCTGCTACAAGTACACATACTGTCCTATATTATTTATAGCAGTGGGAATAGTAAACATTAACTATTACAAGCTTTTGTAAACGTGAACAATTAAATGAAATCTTGTCATTATCTGCACTTAAAGCCTGTTACCTGATACTATTATTAACATTCCTCAACTGTCGGTCGTACCGGTCAGACGAGGAAAAAGTGCATGTAGAGTTTCACTGAAACGCCGCTGCATGAGTTAAAGTCTGTCAGCAGATTGTTCAGGTTGTTTTTACTGAGAAAGTAAATCTCACCTGTTGAATCAGAGTCAGGAGACCAGTAATGAGTCATATTTACTCTGATGGAGAGTAACTGACACACAGAAATGGACAAAAGTATTAAAAGTATTGCAGATATATTAGTAGTATTGGAGTAATTAAAACATTGACCTGATGGCTCCTCTGTGGAGCGTGAATGTCTGAACCACATTTAAAGGTTTTAAAACCTTCATTAAACTGTAGGTAACAGCGCCACCAGTGGCCGTTAAGTGAACTGCAGGCAGCGTCCTGTTGCGTCATCCTGGGCGTCGGCCAACAGCGACACCCACCAGACTGAATGCTGGGAAATAAACTACAATCATATTTACATAAGTTGCATTAAATTTTCACACATTGGCAACAAACAGTAATTAATACACGAAAATAATACTTCATAATATTACACACAGCTGACCAACATACTGACATCATCTCTGCAGCGATGGTGGAAAAATCAGAAGCTAAAAAACAAACATGAAGGCAGAAAGAAATCAGACTTTTAGATAAACAGTCAGGTAGTTTTAAAGGTTGGAGTTGTGGAAGCAGACAAAGCCTAGAGACAAGACCTAAAGAGCTAAAAACCACCATCGTCTCCTCCCGTCAGCTCCCACCTGGCTGTCCACCAACCTCGGGGTGCTGATCTGTATCGAGTGCTCGGGGATCCACAGGGAGATGGGGGTCCACTACTCCAGGATCCAGAGTCTGGACCTGGACGTCCTGGGAACCTCCGAGCTGCTCGTAAGTGTCGATGCAGAATGTGATTCAGATTTATTGTTTTCCAACTGAAAAGACAAATCTATATTAATCTTACACAGTCCTGTTGGTACATCAACCATTCAGTGTAACCTGACCTGTTGTGTTTCAGTTGGCGAAGAACGTGGGAAATGCCAACTTCAACGATATCATGGAGGCAGATCTGTCGGCGCAGAGCGTCACCAAACCTGATCCGACCAGCGACATGTGAGTGACGGCGGCGCCGATGTGACGGGTTGACACCGAAGGAGAAATGTGAAACGTAAACTAACTGCGTCTCTCTGTGCTGCTTCCAGGCAGATGAGGAAGGACTACATCACAGCGAAGTACACAGAGAAGCGTTTCGCTCAGCGGCATTGTGCCGACGCCGACGCCAGACTGCGAGATCTCTACGAGGCCGTCAGGAACAAAGACATCCTGTCTCTGATCCAGGTCTACGCCGAGGGGGTGGACCTGATGGATGCCAGCCCGCAGCCCAACGAACACGTACGACGTCACTGATTCCTTCATGTGAAGTTAAAGTACACAGATTCCCCCTCACACCATCTCAAAGTGTGTGTGTGTGTGTGTGTGTGTGTGTGTGTGTGTGTGTTTCAGGAACCTGGAGAGATGTCCCCTGGCGGTCCTTGGCGACGGAACTCGTTCACATCGTCGACTTCTCGACAAAACAGGCCGGGAAGCACGCATCCTAACCATAGGGCTGTCATTATCTATTCTCTGTTACGACTTCAGAAAACAGGCAGGTGGACAGGTAGTATGGTAAGTCAGTAAAAACCGGGAACACGAGACAGAACAACCAGGGAGACAGAGGTAAGTGAGACAGAATGAAACCAAAGCTAAAGATAACAGACCAGGGAATTTGACAAGAAACAAAAAAACAGAACTAACTAAAAAACCCAAACGTGCACATCGCGTTTCCTGATGATTGCGTTTAATCTGCTAGAGATAAGGTTCACATCATTTTATATGAACTGATTGTCACAAAAATAATATCACGCATAATAATCACATGTTTAACCATCGTGCGCTCTACTCATCTGCGCCTGTAGTCGCACGCCTATTTTAGTCCATAGTGAAGATGAAAAGTCAATCTCACAAACAAACAACAACCATCAGAAAGTTTGAGAATTAACAACTTGGATGACGTCTGAATCTCTCAGTATTGTTCCACATAGCGGTCCCTCTTAGGTCTTTCGCTTTACAAGAGTATAGCGCCGCGACAGACACGTCAAACGCTGTCTGCAGCTCGACTCGCTCAGTCGCTATCTTCGCGGTTTGTGCTTTGTGATTGCTTTCATGTCTTCGACTCTTTCCTACAGTTTGTTGTGCTTCTTGACTCGCTCGCCTACATGCGCTGCTCTTACCTCGTCGCATCGTAGATGTGACTTCCGTCCTCTGTTTGGCTCTGCTTGCTGTCCTGTGTTGTTCATTGTGGCCCTTCCTTGTGTTCTGTGTTTCTCGTTAACTGAAAAGAGAAGGAAAGGAACCAGCGCCTGCATCACCTTGGCCCCTCGCCTCGATCGAGAGTGACTGCAAATTGATGAGCAGAGGAAGAGCTTAGTTTCCTAAATAAGCTAAGAACAAAACAGAAAGGAAAGGAGGGAAATGAAAAAATAAATCTATTATTACAGTATAATAGTTAAAGGGTTGAAAGAGGATGAAATAGTGTCAGCTATTTTATAGTAAGATAAGATGTATAATGAGCTAAAGTTTCAGTTTACTGGTGTGATAGAGAATTAGAAGGTATAATGTATGAAAGGGACAAAAAGTATACTTTATGAAAGTATATTTTATGAATTTACTTTGCTAAAGAAAAGAAGAGGAGAGAACGCCCTGGAACAGCCTAACGTCTAGAAAAAAGAGTGTGGAAGAACCGGTGCGATAAGCGAAAGTTATATTTGTTATATTGTTATATATTTTGGTTATTTATTTTATAATAATTATAAGTTTATATGTGAAGTTAAATGCCTGATGAGAATGAATTACTTCTAAATAATTAACCAATGTACAATAAGCTAAGCTAAATCAGTATAAAATACACCAGTTAAACTACTGGACCTGAATAAATGAACAAAAATTATAAATTTAA